AAACTTATTCATCGTACAAAACATCCATACTTATTATTGTGCCTATTACATACATAGAACACTAAACTCGGATATAAACCCTCCCCTCAAACTTCTTACCAACCTCAACAGAACACATGACCATAACACAAGGCACAGATTACTCTTTGATGTTCCCCGCGTCCATCTCACACTATGTAAAAACTCAATTCACATAAAAGACCCAAAGATCTGGAATTCATTACCTGTTTACCTGGAGAGAGTTCCGGGGGTCAACGCCCCCGCGGCCCGGTCTGTGACCTGTGAATATAAAAGAAATACTGTCTGTTTATCAATTTAAGACTCTTCTTAAAAAAAAACCACTTACTCACCCACGACTAAATAAATACTGAATAACTGTATCTCATAAATATATAACCTGTGAACCTATCAAACTATTTTTTTTTAATTACATTACCTAATAGAATACTCCATTCTCTTGAATGTACAGTAACTCATCTAATGACCATATGACCTGTTTCTGCACTTCAAATCATTGATTTTACTCGATCTGATTCGATTATATTATACATTGTTATGCTATAAATTTGTACAACTTTAATGCTTCTTATTTGAAATATTCATTTGTACTTCATGTTGTAATTTGTTTACTGTAATTTTTACCACTGAATATATCATTGCTTAGTTAATCTTAAGTTAATTTTAAGCCTGCCCATAATGCTCTACATACAAGGGGCTTTTGGCATGTACACACAATCACTATATTTGTTTGTACAACTATGTATCATGTCCAAATAAAAAATTAAATAAATAAATGTCGTCCCTGTCCCTCCTGTCCTCCAGTGTCGTCAGGTCAATTTCCCTTAATCTCTCATCGTAGGACATGCCCCTTAGCTCCGGGACTAGTATCGTTCAAACCTTTGCACTTTCTCTAAATTCCTTACGTGCTTGGCTAGGTATGGGTTCCAAATTGGTGCTGCATACTCCTGTATGGGCCTGACGTACACGGTGTACAGGGTCCTGAACGATTCCTTACTGAGATGTTGGAATTCTATTCTTAGGTTTGCTAGGCGCCCATATGCTGCGGCAGTTATTTGGTTGATGTTCGCCTCAGAAGATGTGCCCGGTGTTAAACTCACCCCAAGATCCTTTGCCTTGAGTGAGGTTTATAGTATCTGGCCCCTTAGATTGTACTCCGTTTGTGGTCTTCCTTGCCCTTCCCCAATCTTCCTTGCCCTTCCCCAGTGACTTTGCACTTGGTGGAGTTGAACTCCAGGAGCCAGTTTCTGAACCTGAGTCGATTCCGCCTGTCATGTCATACACATACACCAGGAAGATAACAAACAAACAAAAGGAGGAAAGTGAAAACAAAATAAAAGTATCAGTGAAGGTTGACATATCAGTAGGCCTCCAGGAAGTGGTACGGCCCTAGTCAGGTTGTCATAAGGAAAGAAGTGATAGTACTATCAGAAAAAGTTTAAACACTTGAAGATGGAGTTCTGTTCCTAAGACCACGTCGTTAAACGAATTTGTCTAAGTGAGGAGCATACTATAATGGTAATGAGTTTGTTTCAACTATCTTTGATATTGTTTTAATGTCAACTTTGCACCATTTAAAACATTTCTGGTATATTTTTAAATGTTTATACAGTAGTGTACTGCATATTGAAATAAACAGAATAGAGGAAATCGGCTATGAATACTGGTCGGAGAGTCCGTCGTAAGTCCGAGGCGTCGGTAAGCGAGTACGTCATTGTGTGAGGAGAGACATATAATATATATATATATATATATATATATATATATATATATATATATATATATATATATATATATATATATATATATTATATATATATATATATATATATGAGCAAAGTGCTCGCAGAGGATCAAGGAGACCGAGAGTAAGACACAGCAAGGGAGCAGCAGCGAGCAACTAGAGACTACCACTTCTCTGCCAGACGCACGTAATATTCATCTAGTTGGGGTTGCAGTAGCACCAGTCTTTGCATGCTGAAAACTGAGGGTCACTCCTGAAAGTTATCAGAATTAGAGTAAGTAGCATTTACTAGCACTGATAGCATTTACTAAGGTGTAGGTGAGTTATCTCAGGGCATGACGGTAGGCTTCCACCAGTACACACACAAACGAACGTGCGCACACAAGTACCCATGTGCTCACGTGTTTTTTCAGGCACTTGTAGAAGCAGAGAGTAGACTTAGTATCATTGACAGGTAGATTGGCTGAGGAGTAAGTGAGGAGGGTTATTTTCCAGGCACACACTCTTTGCAAAGTTAGAATGTATGAGAGTATATTGGTACTAACGCTCATAATTATATGGGTGTGCAGCATGGGTGGTGAATGTTACAACAAGATGTTGTTTCTGAGGGCAATGTGTGGTATTAACATTATGCAGAGAATCCATAGCTTGAAGATTGGGAGGTGTGGGGTTTCTAAAAGTATTGTCCAGAGGGCTTTGCGCTTCTTTTTTATTATAATAATAATGAGGAGGGGTTGTTGACGTGTTTCAGACATTTAGAAAGGATGAAACGAAATGGAATAACTTGGAAGGTGTATAAATCGGTAGTGGAGGGAAAACTGGGTAGGGTGTCGTCCTGGGGAAGGTTGGAAGGAGGGAGTAAAGGGGTTTTGTATGCGAGGGACTTGCATGGAAAATCTCGCAGTTGAATTTTCCAGACTGTTATAAACCCTCCCTAAGTTGGGGAAAAGGAGAGAAGGGACTACATCCCCACCATGCCTATGGGGTTGCCACATTTCTTTATATACTCTTGATTTGTAAGACCTAATCTGTAATGAAGCCCATACGCTAATGTCTATGCACTATGACTTATGTATTTAAGCTAAGTTAGAGTTAGATTAATCTAGTTTAGTAAACTACAACACCTCACATCCTACACAATAGGCTATAGGCACTCCTGCATCCCACTGTGCCCATGGGGTATGCAGCGTGCATACCTGTCAGTCACAAAAAACACCATAGTGAGCACAGTACGACTTATCCGGAAGTTCTGCAATGAAGTCCTCTAACATTCGATAACACATTACAACGTGAATTTGGTACATTTCACCTCGATAATTATCTCCGTGGTGTACTAGGTGGTTACGCATGACTTTTAGAAGTCTCTGGAACCATGGCCACATTTCACCGCTGGTGTACTAGGCATAATGTGTGATTTTTACGGGTCTCTGGAAACAGCCATCACTCTTCCACGTGAGATGCTGTATAGTCCTTGTGGCTTAGCGCTTCTTTTTGATTATAATAATAATCTTCCACGTGAGTACCTCGAGTGTATTGAAAGCGCATTTGAACATTGGGGCTATGTGTAAGGGGGCTGCCACCAGAGATCTACTGTGCAACCGTCAACGCACACTGCCCATTTGAGAATAGAAGAAGAAATTATTTCAGGTATCTAGGAATGAGGTGGACTTGGAGAACTAACCTAATCAATCACAACTCCCACACACCCTCTATTCTACACAATTTAGGCTTCCAGCAAGAGTGCATGAGTGTGTTAGGGTTGAGTGGAGGCAAATTGTTTTCGTGATTTGATATGTTATTGGAATGTGAGCAAAGTAACATGAAAGGATTCAGGGAAACCGGTTAGACAGACTTGAGTCCTGAAGGTCGAAATTACAGTGCCTGCACTTTGAAAGAGGGATGGAGATATATTGCAGTTTTTTAAGTGTAGTGTAGGCACTTCTCTGGCAAGACAGTGATGGAGTGAGTGTTGATGGAAATGTTTCTTTTTTGGGTCACCCTGCCTCGGTGGGAAAGGCCAGTGTGCTAATAAATTATGTATATATATATATATATATATATATATATATATATATATATATATATATATATATATATATATATATATATATATATATATATCGTGCCGAATATGTAAAACTGGTCAATTAGCAAGAACTCATTTAAAATTAAGTCCTTTCTAAAATTTTCTCTTATACGTTTAAAGATATATATTTTTCATTAATGTTAATGTAAAAATTTATAATTTTGCGCCAAAAGAATCTTAGAAAACTTACCTAACCTTATTATAACAAGAGCAGTTTATTTTAGCCTAACCCAACTAAATATATTTTAGATTTTTTACAATAATTTAATACTAAACAAACACAGTGAAATATATTTTTTCGTTAGGTTCAGAATTATTTTGGCGAAATTATTGCATACACAAATTTTCACTTGTCTTATATGGCAAGATGAGCGTTGCCATATATATATAATATAATATATATATATATATATATATATAATATATATATATATATATATATATATATATTTATATATATATATATATAATATATTATATATATATATATAATATATATATTATATATATATTATATAATAGTATATAGCAACGCTCTTCTTGCCAAATAAGGCCAGCGAAAATTTGTGTATGCAATAATTTCGCAAAAATCATTCTGAACCTAACGAAAAAAATGTATTTAATTGTGTTTATTTATTATTAAATTATTGTAAACTTATCTAAAATATATTTAGTTGGATTAGGCTAAACTAAATTGCGCTTTTTATAATAAGGTTTGGTAAGTTTTCTAAGGTTCTTTTGGTACAAAATTATTATTTTTTACATTAACATAAACGAGAAAAATAGATCTTTAAAAGTATAAGAAATTTTTTTAGAAAGGACTTAATTTTAAATGCAGTATCAGCAGCAGCAGCAAAAACAACAATAGCAGCAGCAACAACAGCAGTGCAACAATAGGAAAAACAGTATCAGCAATAGTAGCAGCAGCAGCAACAGCAATATAAACAGAAGCAATAGCAGCATCAGCAGCAACAGCAGACCATCTTGGCAGGGTGATCGATAAGGTTATCTTGGCTCAGTGATAATCGTGGCAGCCGATAGCTCCCTGGGTAAATACCGTAGTGGAAGGTAGGTGGGCGGCGAGGTGGGTAGCAGGTGGGTACTGGAGTGTCATAAGTGCTTTAGAGGGCCCTCTAATAGAACACAGTGTGTGAGGTGTTACTTAACAGAAGCCATGGAGCTGCCAGTGCTGCTTTGTGAAGCATGACAGGTGTTGAGGTTAGGAAGCTGCCAGTGTTACTCGTGATGGATGACAGGTGTAGAGGCCAGAAAACTACTAGTGTTGCTTGTGAACATGGCAGGTGTAGAGCCCAGGAAGCTATCCATGTTGGTCGCTCACTGTGCTGTGTTTTCAAAGACTTCTCTGCCTTACCCTAACATCTAAAAATAGTAATATAAGTTAACAATTATACTGAACAATTAGTTATGTTTACCTCCCTCCCCGCCCTTCACTCCTGCCATTAGTATTTTATAGAGGAATCTGAACGCAGGTGTCATCACACAGTCATTAGAAACCACTAATATTGCTCCTATTTCTCAAAGGTGGGAGTAAGGCAATTGCAATAATCTTTAAAACAATATAACGCGCTAACATGACTATCCCATGGAATCACAGTTATTTCAAAATCCAGGGCAGCATGATTTAGCACAGGTCGCTCCTTCCTCTCACAACTACTGCTGGATCATTACGACGTGGTCCTGGATGCACTGGTAGATACGCTAACTGCTTATGTAGTAAACATTATTTTTTCCAAAGCCTTCGACAAGTACGACCATGGTGTGATAGCACATAAAATGCGTTCAAAATGAATAGCTGGAAAAGTGGGCAGATGGATGCTTAACTTTTGTAATAACTAGAACCCAGATAATTGTAGTATATAGAGTGAAGTCAGAGACTGCCACAGTGAAAAGCTCTGTTCCTCAAGAAGAATTACTGGTGCCCACTTCTGTTTCTCCTTACACCTGATACTGACAGACATAACATCGTAACATCCTTTGCTGATGACACCAGAATATCTGTGAGAGTGGCTTCTGTCGAAGACACAGCAAACCTTCAAGCAGATATAAATCAGGTCTTCAAGTGGACCTTTGATAACAGTGTGATGTTTAACGGCTCCTTTCAAAGGAGACGAAATTCCCGAGCTGGAAGACGTACAAAGAAATATCTGTCCTCAAATACATTCGATCAAGCATTCAAACTACTGAGAACGTTTGAAGTCCCTTCAACTGTAATCCTTGGAACGTAGGTGAGAAAGGTGTATCCTAATTTACACAAGGAAAATCGTGAAGGCACAGGTCCCAGCCCTGAACACTGAAATCACTCCCTCCGTATGACAACAAGAGACATGGCAGATGGTAAAAATTACCTCCATTAAAAAGCAGAAGTGCGACGAGTACACTGAGAGAACTCGATGAATGTCAGATTCCCGACTATTCAACGCCTTCTCACTGTGCATGAGGGGAATTACCAACAAACCTCTGGCTATTTTCAAGAGGGAACTCTACAAGTTCCTGCATTCAATTCCTGACCAGCAGGCCTGAGGCTTGTGTGCAAGACTGCACGTGACCAGCAGTAACAGCCTGGTTGATCAGGCCTTGATTCACCACCAGGAGGCCTAGTCTGGGGCTTGACCGCAGGGGCATTGACACCCGGAAATATCCTAGGTAACTTCGCCTCCTTCCAAACCTGCAACATGTGTTGACTTCACTAACCCCCACTTTTCCCATCCTGCCACATTCTTGTGTTTACCTACCTTCCAGTCCTCCTCCTTTATCACACACTTGTGTTTTTCTCCCTACCCTCTTTTCTTCCAGCCATATACTTAGTGTTTATCTTCATTCGTGGTCCCAGATTATTCAACATCTTACCAGAAGATATCAGAAACACTGCTGGGACAAGTGTAGAAATCTTCAATAGGAGACTGGATAAGTATCTTCACCAAATGGCAGATCAACCAGGCTGTAATGGATATGTGGGGCAGTGGGCCATCCACAGCAACAGCCTTGTTGACCAGACGAGCCTGGCCCATGGCCGGTCTCCGGGAGTAGAAAAACTCTTGGAACCTATCAAATGTATATCACAGGTAAAGGTATCCATCACCCCTTCCCTTCCAGCCACGTATATTTACCTCTTTCCCTCCCTCCCTTCCTTTCTTGTTCCGCTGTGGAAAAATGGAGGAAAATGAAGACTGGAGCAGAGTACAAGATAAACTCAATTTATTCAATAGAGTGACAGTCCCAGGTATGAATCTTAGGAGTAATGATGTCAGAAGATCTCACTTTCAAGGCTCACAACAATATTGTCATTTCATGGTGAGCAGAAACCTGAAGCCAAGACAGCAGTGCCTAAGTGTACCCAACAGGGCTAACAGAATACTTGGATTTATCTCAAGTATAAGTGGCAGATGTCCGGAAGTTATTGTACAGCTCTTTACATCACTAGTGAGGCCTCATTTAGATTATGCTGCTCAGTTTTGATCTCCTTAATGCAGGAGGATGTAGACTCATTGGAGAACATACAGAGAAGGGTGACTAAAGTGATTTACTGTGTAGGGAATCTCCACTCTCTGGAGAGACGTAGAATGAGGGGAAATATCATTGAAGTACATAAGTGGATGGGGGGCATAAACAAAGGAGATATTAATAAAGTGCTGAGGGTGTCAACATAAGAACATAAGAAACATAAGAAAGGAGGAACACTGCAGGAGGCCTGTTGGCCCATACTAGGCAGGTCCTTTACAATTCATCCCACTAACAAAACATTTGCCGAACCCAAATTTCAGCGCCACCCAAGAAATAAGCTCTGATGTGAAAGTCCCACTCAAATCCAACCCCTCCCACTCATGTACTTATCCAACCTAAATTTGAAACTACCCAAAGTCCCAGCCTCAATAACCCAACTAGGTAGACTGTTCCACTCATCAACTACCCTATTTCCAAACCAATACTTTCCTATGTCCTTTCTAAATCTAAACTTATCTAATTTAAATCCATTACTGCGGGTTCTCTCTTGGAGAGACATCCTCAAGACCTTATTAATATCCCCTTTATTAATACCTATCTTCCACTTATACACTTCGATCAGGTCTCCCCTCATTCTTCGTCTAACAAGTGAATGTAACTTAAGAGTCTTCAATCTTTCTTCATAAGGAAGATTTCTAATGCTATGTATTAATTTATTCATCCTACGCTGAATGTTTTCTAACGAATTTGTGTTCATTCTGTAATATGGAGACCAGAACTGAGCTGCATAATCTAGGTGAGGCCTTACTAATGATGTATAAAGCTGCAGTATGACCTCTGGACTTCTGTTGCTTACACTTCTTGATATAAATTCCAGTAATCTATTTGCCTTATTACGTACGCTTAGGCATTGCTGTCTTGGTTTAAGGTTGCTGCTCACCATAACCCCCAAGTCCTTTTCGCAATCTGTATGGCTAAGTTCTACATCATTTAACTTGTAAAGTAAAAGGACACAAGTGCAACTAATGTGACATTTTATTGTGGCAACGTTTCGCTCTCCAGGAGCTTTATCAAGCCATGGCTTGATAAAGCTCCTGGAGAGCGAAACGTTGCCACAATAAAATGTCACATTAGTTGCACTTGTGTCCTTTTACTTTACATATTGTCGGTAATTCTACCAACTTTATTACAATCATTTAACTTATAAGTACTAGGGTTATGGACACTCCCAAGCTTCAGAACCTTGCATTTATCTACATTGAACTGCATCTGCCACTTTTCTGACCAAGAATAGAGTTTGTTTAAATCCTCCTGAAGTTCCATAACATCTACGTTTGAATCAATTATCCTACCTATCTTTGTGTCATCGGCGAATTTGCTCATATCACTAGTAATTCCCTCATCAAGATCATTGATATATATTATAAACAACAACGGGCCCAAGACTGATCCCTGTGGAACGCCACTTGTTACAGATCCCCACTCGGATTTAACCCCATTTATGGACACTCTCTGCTTCCTGTCAGTGAGCCATGACTCGATCCACGAGAGCACTTTTCCCCCAATGCCATGAGCTGCCACTTTCTTTAACAGTCTATGGTGCGGAACTCTATCAAAAGCCTTACTAAAATCTAAGTAAATAATATCAAATTCTTTATCGTGGTCAACAGCCTCAAAAGCTTTACTGAATGATAAATTAGACACATGTGCAACTCTTGGGTATCTTTATTGAGAAAATGTTTCGCCACACAGTGGCTTCATCAGTCCATACGTAGGAGAAACTTGAAGAACAGGAGGAGAATGAGGTAATCAGTCCCTCAACCTTGAGTCGATGTGGTGAGTCCATCAATCTTGAATAGAATACGGCTCTCTGAACCATTCATCTACAAATCTGTCAGACACTGCAACTTCTTGGGATCTTATTACTTAGGAATTCTTCGCTTGCCTAATTCTTGGGCACGACCTACTTCCACATTGAACAAATGTGACACGACCTATGACTGCTGCACCTCTCCTGCCATACGGTTTATAAGCTGCTTCTCCGCTGATATGCCGTATTCTATTCAAGATTGATGGACTGAACACATCGACTCAAGGTTGAGGGACTGATTACCTCATTCTCCTCCTGTTCTTCAAGTTTCTCCTACGTATGGACTGATGAAGCCACTGTGTGGCGAAACATTTCCTCAATAAAGATACCCAAGAGTTGCACATGTGTCTAATTTATCAACATGTCGGTTCTCTGAACCATTCATCTACAAAGCTTTACTGAAGAAAGTTAATAAATTAGTTAGACAAGACCGGCCTCTTGTGAATCCATGCTGAGTATCATTAATCAAGCTATGCTTATCGAGATGGATTCTTATAATCTCAGCTATAATTGACTCTAGTAATTTGCCTACAATTGAGGTCAGGCTTATTGGGCGGTAATTTGACGGTAACGACTTGTCCCCTGTTTTAAAAATAGGAATTACATTAGCCATCTTCCACATATCAGACACTACACCTGTTTGAAGAGATAAATTAAAAATATTAGTTAATGGTTCACAGAGTTCCATTTTGCATTCCTTAAGAACCCTTGAAAAAACCTCATCAGGACCCGGCGACTTATTTTGCTTCAGTCTGTCTATCTGCTTCACAACCATTTCACTAGTGACTGTGATGTTACATAATTTATCTTCTTCTAGCCCACTATAAAAATTAATTACTGGAATATTGTTAGTGTCTTCCTGTGTAAAAACTGAGAGAAAATAATT